TAAATGCGTCCAGTTTTAGAAATTGTAGTGACCAAATTTGATATTAATTTTTTCTAGTGACTAAACATGTCCCGATTTTGTAATCTCAGTGACCAAATGTGTCTTTAACCCAAAAACATATATTCATTAACATTTGTATGAATGAAAAAGAATATTACAAAGCTTAACGCCATGTGGCAGTGGGCATGCAAAATGCAACATTAGGGAAAACGATCTTTATTCTTTGGAGGATAAACATTATATGTTTACGATTAACTCGTAGTTGCAGATGCTGCATGGAAAAGCACGTACTAGTCGCAGCGGCGGATCCAGGACACAGCGTAGCACTGGGCCGCATTTCATTAGAAAATTAGATATCGTAAAAAAATCACAGTTTTTTTTTACAATATCAATTGTACACGTCAATCTTTTAAATTTTAATATAGTGAATTCATCAATAATAGAGTTTGCATCCACATCAATAGCATACTCTCTTTAAGATAAAATAGTTAACCAATTGGAGAGAAATTCATCGTTAATTTTGTTGCGCAAATGTCAACACAATCGACTAATCAATTCCTATTTTCAACAGCTGCTCAAGTAATTTCTTAAGAGAATAAACCTCATATTTATTTTAGTCTTTTACGCTTTAGAATTTGAGGTTTCATTGTTTGCTTTTCTTTATATGAGAATTATTGGAGCTAGAATTTTCAGGCTAAATTTAGAGTTGTGATTTGAATATGTTCATCTTACCCATTTTCCTAATTACACACAATTTTATTATAAAATAACACTGGGCCAAATGGTTAAATCGATAAACTCATAAGGGCTATACTAGTTCCGGATCCAGGGGAGGGCTGGGCCGGGGCCCGGGGTGGCCACCCCTGGATCCGCCACTGACTAGTCGCCACGAATGGCAGGGGAAGGCGCCGGCGAAGGCGCGCAAGGAACCGGCAGCGGCAGCCCACACAACCCGGGGTTGCCTACTTGCCTTCAAAACTCGACGCCGGAAAATCAAGAAACCCACTCGGAATCGGGCCAACCAACCGGTTCCTCGACACATTGTACGCCTCCAAACCGCCGAAATTACCCTCACCCGGGATCTCCCCGTCGAACCGGTTTTCCTGCGCCAAGAAGATGTTCAGCCTTCCCAGACCTGTTGGAATCGTCCCACTGAACCGGTTCCGCGAAACATCGACCAGGCTCAGGCCGGTCAGAGAGGCGAGAGAAACAGGGAGCGAACCGTGAAGACGGTTCCCCCCAAGCCGCAGGTAGGTCAGGTTGGTGAAGCAGGCGATTTCGAAAGAGAGCCGGCTGAAGATGTGGTTGTCTGTCAGGTCTAGAGCTTTGAGAGAATACTGGATGGTCCTGCAGAGCGGTTTGAGATCCAGACGTCCGGTGAGGTTGACCATGTTGAGGGTCAAGGCCATGACTCGGCCGTCCGAGTCACAAACGACCCCTGCCCAGTCATGACAGGGGTCTGAGGTGAGGTTCCAGCCCCAGTTGGAGTGGGGCGGGAACGTGCCCTGCGAGAGGGTTTCGATGAACTGGAGGAGTGATATCCTTGCCTGGATTGATTCTGAAGTGAAGGGTTGTGGGAAGGTTAGGAAGAGGAGGAGGAGAATTGAATGAATTAGGAGGGTTTTTCCGGCCATGGTTTTGCTTGCTGTGGAAGAGTTGAGGTTTTGAGATGGAGGAAATGGGTTCTAGGTATTGCCCATTTATACACGGTGGGAGGTTGACTTCTTTGGAGTAATGGAATGAATCCAAGAAGAAGGAGACAATGTGGGAGAGATATCGCTGTTAAGAGCAAGCTAGCTGAGAAGGACGTTTGTGAATTCCAAAAGGAAAAGAAACAAGAACACACCTTGGACTTTGAGTTCTATTTTTTTTTTTTTTAAGGAAGTTCTAAATCTATTTTGATAATGAGTTCGATGTTGAGTTCAGAAACATCATTCAACTAATTTTCAAATGTAATATCTGGTGAAATTTTTAGGAATGGTTTGGATGGGTCAAAACGAGATAATTTGGTTAATTGTTTCATTTTATAAAATTAATCACTAATAACGAGTCCTCCTCTCTACGACGGAAGCTCTAATTGAGAAGGATGTCCAGGTCCATCCCCACTGTTCGATTTGCTGGGCGGAATGTTCGATTTGCTGGGCGGAATCGGAGACAATGGAACATTTGTTTCTGGATTGCCCAGTGGCTAGGGCCTTGTGAGATTATCGGGACTGGAATATCTTGGCCAAGGGCTGTCGCGTCATACCTTCCCTTTCTTAAAAATTGATGAATCTCATTCATGAACCTCAACTGTTTATGGTGGTCACTGCGATCCTTTGGAGGATCTGGTGGTCACGAAAATAGGTTGTTTTTTAGGGCAAACAGTTTGGGATCCCTGCTTTAATGCGGTAGTTCCATCAGCAGTACCATGAATGGGTTAGTCTGCCGGTTGATAGGACTCAGCGATTGCTTGTCCCTCTTGTCCAACTTTGGAGGATGCTCACCCTTGACCCATTATCTGTAGGTGGGATTGGACAACTAGGAGTGAGTCCCATTCGGCAGGAGAGATGGTTATCATGAACCTGACTGGGAAGGTTCTCCTAGCTAAAGGGATTCAGTTTGTGGGGATTGTAGATCCTTTGACTGCCGATATACTCTCCCTCCACGAGGCTATTCTCTGGTGTCTGGCGTCGGGGTTTAGGAAAGTAAGATTGGAAGGTGACGCCAAAGTGATTATTGATAAGATACAACAGTCGGATACCAGAGATAGAAGGATTGGAGCCCTTCTTCAGGACGCTGTGCATTGCTTAGCGATTCATAGGGGGCTCACTATGCGATTTGTAGATCGGAGTAGGGATGGCAATTTTGCCCATACCCATGGGTATTTTACTATCCAACCCAATTGGGTTGGGTATGAAATCCAAATATATGGATATGGGTAAAGTTTGATGGGTTTGTACCCATACCCATTTACTTTGGGTTGGGTTGGGTTTATAACAAATGGATTTGGGTTTGTACCCATGCCCAAATACAAATTACAGTTTGGTACCTAAACTTAATAGATATGCATATTTAGTACCTAATTTTTTTTTGCATATAAGTCCTCAAAATATCGATGGAAAATTACGTTTTGGTACCTAACTTTTTTTGGTCTTACATTTTGGTACCTAAAATTTTCAAGTTTTACCAATAAGTCCAATTTTTGCATGTGTAGTTAAAACACCCTCAAGTAAATGGATATCCATATCCAACCCATACCCATTTAGATAATATCCATATCTAACCCAAACCCATATACAAACCCCAAACCCATACACACATCACCCAAACCCTACCCATAATAAATGGGTCTACTTGGGTTTGGGCAAAATTACCCATGGGTGGGTAAATTGCCATCCCTAGATCGGAGTAGTAATAGGGTAGCCTACCTGGTGGCTCGAAAGGCCCTTCAATTGTACTCGACTACGAGTCGTTTATTTGATTTTCTGGCCTGGTTGAATTCCAAGATGTAATCATTTATTTTTCTGATCAATATATATGATTATCTTTTGTCCAAAAAAAAAAAAAACGAGTCCACTCGAATTACCTATGTGGATGTCCCTATTCAGACAATTGAAGTTAACTCAATCAAAATTTTCCAAATCATCAAATTGGTCCATCCAAATTTTATACCGGCAAACGAGACAATTTAATCTAATTATCTCAAAACAAAACAATTGAGTTTGATTGATTCGTTACAATTCTCTATCCAAACGATACTAAATGAATTTCAACTATCGTTTATATTTTTGGCTCCTATTATATATTGTGTTAAACAAAAATTGGTCCAATAATTTTCATAATAATAATCTCTTTGTTCAAGGTACACAGTCGAGGCTATTTCCCACAAGTCACAAATCATGGCCCAAGTTGTTATGAATTTGGGTGATTAAAGCCAGATATAGGTTTATTTCTTAAGAGTATCTCAAAACTAGGGTACAGGTTTGAGAGTTAGGGTTGCAAGTTTCAAGTTTTCGCTTATTATTTAGGTCCTAATTGGGTTGGTTTAGGTCCAAGATTCGACCACTATCAAAGTTCATGATCAATGTCGATGACTGAGATGAGGGTTTAGTGTTCTCATATGAAAGCTCTGCCATTTCTCTTTAGCTTTCATCAACCATAAACCAGGACTGCATCTTTCTTTTGCTTTTAGAGTACTAGGTGTCCTACCCATTTCCTACCAATGTAAGTCGAAACTAGGTGGCACCGAGCACAGAGACAACCCCTAGAACATTCATCTGCACCAGATATAAAGCTTGGCATACTCCATTCTAATGCGAACAGATATGGTGTACACAAGCACGCTATACCAACAAACGCAAGCATCAGCATAGATGCAAGAGGTAATCCACTGCAGATACCAAGAACATACTTCCGACTTCAATATTCGACAACAAAACAAAACCAACCGACATCATTGTCCAAAGGCTAGTGCCATGGCCGAACACAGTACTTGAAAATAAGATAAAAAGCAACAAACTGGGCATCCAACCAATCCATAGTAACCAGAAACTTCAACAGTCCAGAAATTTTAAGCAATGCAGAAACCAGCCAGATCAACCCCCTTAGCAGCCCCCACGGAGACGCAGGACAAGGTGGAGGGTAGATTCCTTCTGGATATTGTAATCCGCCAGCGTCCTTCCATCTTCCAACTGCTTGCCAGCAAAGATAAGTCTCTGCTGGTCTGGTGGGATACCTTCCTTATCCTGGATTTTGGCCTTCACATTATCAATGGTATCACTGCTCTCCACCTCCAGGGTAATTGTCTTCCCCGTGAGGGTCTTGACGAAGATCTGCATGCCTCCCCTCAATCGCAGGACAAGGTGAAGGGTGGACTCCTTCTGAATATTGTAATCAGCCAGAGTCCTCCCGTCCTCAAGCTGCTTCCCAGCAAAGATCAACCTCTGCTGATCTGGGGGAATCCCTTCCTTGTCCTGGATCTTTGCCTTCACATTGTCAATGGTGTCGCTGCTCTCAACCTCCAAAGTAATAGTCTTTCCAGTTAAGGTCTTAACAAAAATCTGCATCCCACCACGGAGACGGAGAACCAGGTGAAGGGTCGACTCCTTTTGGATGTTGTAGTCTGCCAAGGTCCTCCCGTCCTCGAGCTGTTTGCCGGCGAATATCAGCCTCTGCTGATCGGGGGGAATTCCCTCCTTGTCCTGGATCTTGGCCTTGACGTTGTCGATTGTGTCACTGCTCTCGACCTCGAGAGTGATCGTCTTGCCGGTCAAGGTCTTAACAAAGATCTGCATCTGTAAAATCGCAACCAACAAGGAAAAAACCTAGTTCAGCATCCCCGATCGAAATTTTATCAACGAAAACCTAGCTTCAAACAAATTCCAACATCGGCTTTGACCTAACACAGGGATATCAGAGATCCACACAGAGCAATCGAATTAACAAGATCCAATGAACCCTAATTCCAGCGCCTAGAGATCCAGATTAACAATCGAATTTGGAGAACAGAGGAACCGAAATTTAACCAGCTCAATGAAACCCTAGCAACAAAAAAAGTTCCAGCCTCCGATCTAACAGCGGGAGAGTTCAAAGATTCAAACATGGCAATCGAATGAACAAGGAAGAAGTAACCCTAATTCTCCAAAAGCAAGAAATCCCCGATCGGCGATCGGACAAACAGAACGAAAGAAGCTAAATTCTGTATCCGAAATACAATCTAGAAAATAATAACAGAATAAACCAGAACAGCTGTAGAAAATCGAAGAGGGGATTCGTTACCTTGAGAAGGCTGGGAAGAAAGCTTGGAATCGAAGGTCTGACTGATTAGAGAGATTTCAGATTGCTTGGAATGAACTATTGAGGAGAAGGGGTAATTGGGGTTTTGATTTATAGGAGGCCGATTGACCGACTTGGTTTTGGAAAACCAGCCGAAAACACACACGTGTATGGACAGCCGATTGATACTATAACTTGGCCTATTAACATTTTTAGTCTGGCCGAAGGTAAGGCTGGTGAAACCGCTGGCCTGATTGGCTCATGAAGTGGGGTCCGGATAGTATAACAACACCTTAGGGTCTGTTTACTTTCATTTCTGTTTCCTGTTTTTGAGAAAACAGATGTTGAAAACAGGTGAAAACAACATTTTGTCGTTTCCGAAAACAGCAGGAAGTTGCCACTTTCTGTTTTCATAGTTGAAAACGAATAGAAAACGGAATGAAAAGTAAACAACTTTTCTCATTTCGGTTACCAAAATTATGACATGAAAACAGAAAACAGGAAACGAAAATGAAAGTGAACAGGGCTTAGGTGTTGTTATACTAACAACAACATTCATTAAGGGTATAAGGGTAAATATACTTCTATATCTAATAAAATAAAAATTAAATTAAAGTATCCCAATTTCTAGATGACTCTCGATCTCCTCCCCTACGCAGATCTATCTTTCCCGGCCGCTTCTCCTCGGTCCTCCCGTAGTCTCTTCTCTGTCGAGAACGCCGCCTCCGACAATTGAGGCGTCGATCCTTCTCCTCCAATCTCAGGCAAGCAGTGCTCCTCCAATCCCCTACTGTCCTGGACGAATTCGACGACATCGAGATCGGCGGAAATGGCTAGAACAGAGTTTTCTCAGGCGAGGGCACTGTTGTAGCAGTCCGAGGAGTGGCCGATGGCGATGTCCATCTACGGCGGCGGGGAGGGAAACCAAATGTTGTGTCTCTGCGTATGAGTTGTCAATGTAGTAGTAGCGCTGAAGAAGCAGCCATGGAAGAGATCGAAAGCTTGATAGAGGACCTGGCACGGGAAGTTATGAGGATGGCGTTGGATGAAGAGACATGCAACTCAGCCCCAGGGATTCCAGCATCAGTCAGGTATATGTTATGGGAAACGATGAAGAGCTTTCACTTGCTCTAATCTGAGAAAAAAATCTTTAGTCTCTCGTTTCCGTAGCCATACCAGGCACTGTAATGGTTTTCAACTATAACCCGAAAGGGAGAAGATTATGATCAAGATGGCCTGAAGTGATCCCTCGTTGTGCGTTTCTTATGATATCTGATGGAAGTTGGAATCTTCTGGTTGATAATGCTCTACTTGTCTGCATATTCCTTACATATTGTTACGAAATGAACATCTGAAACATTCAACTGTCTATACTTTTGGACTCTGCAAGCTTCAAGTGCTTTTATTCTGTGGTGCTGCTTCTCCTTGTATCTTCATCTGATCAACGAGGCCTTTGCCATCCAGTTTACAACTTACAACGAGCTTGATGTAATCGATAGCAGACACGGTTTTGTAGTTTGGCGCTTGCTTCTGATCCAGTATGTGACTGATGGAGTGATGGGAGTATCACTGTTAAAGTAACTTACCATTCACTAATTGAATATACAGATGATACATAGTAAATTGATTTACCATTCGTTGCTAGTAGCACTGTTAAAGTAACTTAACTAGTTGTGTTTCTTCTGCAGCAAATGAAAGCACAAGAAACACAATAAAGCAAACCAGAAACACAAAAAATAAACCAAAAATCTTCTAATGCATATAAAAAAATCTCTTAAAACAAACCACAAACCTCGCAAAGCAAACCACAGCATTTGCGAAAGCACACCAGAAACCTCCTAATACAAATAATAAATCTCCTAAAAGATACCAGAAATACCACAAAGCAAATCACAAATATTTTAAAGTACACCAAAAACCTTCTAATGCAAACCACAAACACGATAAAACAACCCACAAAAAGCATACAAAAAACTTCCTAATGCAAACCACACGTCTCCTGAAACATACTAGAAACCCCATAAATCAAACAAAAAAATTTTCAAAAGCACACCAAAAACCTCATAATCTAAACCACAAACACCGTAAAGCAAACCACACAAACCAAACCAGAAACGTCCTAATGCAGACCACAAATCTCCTAAAACAAACCACAAACCCCTCAATGCAAACCACCAAAATTTTGAAAGCAAACCAGAAACTTCTCAATACAAACCACAAACACGATAAAGCAAACCAGAAACTTTTCAATGCAAACCACAAACGCGATAAAGCAAACCACAAAAGGCATACGAAAATATGAGAAACCAAACCATAAATCTCACAATGCAGACCATACATCCGGTGGTCGTTGACAGTTGACCGGTCAACGAAGACCGTTGACCAAACTCCGATGACCGTCAGTTACCAGATTCTGACGCCGATAGGCATATTCCGGCCCCGATGACTAGATTCCGATGCCGGTAAGCATATTCCGACGCCGGTAAGTATATTCCGGCGACGGTGGCATATTCCGATGAGAAAATAGCATATTCCGATGAGAAAATAGCATATTCCGGCGATGAAAAGCATATTCCGGTGACCGGCGACCGGTGACAGAATTCCGGCGACCAAAATTTTGGGCCGAAAAAATAAAAAAAATATTTTTTGTTTTTTTTATTATTTAAACATATTTTTCATAATGACAATTATACCCCTACTTTGATTTTACACTAGGTCAACTCATCTAATAAAAAGTCATCACAACCCTAGCTTCCTATTGGTTGGAGACTAGTGTTGTTACAATAACAACACAATGAGTGTTGTTATAGTATCTAGTCCCCATGAAGTGAGACGTCGTGAGTTTGATCCTAGCAGCGCCGCTTGTATGTTGTTGGGGACAAAGTCTCTTGATATTGTGTCTTGTACATGTGCTTCTCAAGTTTGATAGATCTTGCTGTCACAAAGTGGCATGTGGGATTGAGGTTTCTGAGTTATAAAAAAAAAATATTTTTAGTTTGATTTCGATTTATTTTCGAGTTCCAGAAAAATCGCTTGACATTCTTGTGGTGATTCATTTCGTGATAATTTTCATCCTTATTAAGCCTCTCGATGTCCATTTACCAAAAATCTTATTTTTTCACTTTGGACTATGCAATCTTTCCAGGTAATTGTTCCATTGATAATTTCACCCACCTCTGTCAATAGTGACCCGGTCAAGACTAACTTGACCAATTAACATATTTAACAGGATTACTATATGAGTTATTACGAAATCGGTAGATATTCTTGACGTATTCCATTGCATAATAATTTTTCATATCTATCTTTCAAATCGGGCCCGTTGATGTCAGTCTGGCCTATTAACATACTTGGTGAGGTTACTTTGTTAATTTCGATCGTATCAATTGACATTGTTGTTTGAATTTTGGGTCTTTGCTTCAACTCGTGAATTAGTAGAAAGTTGTAACACCTTTACTTGATTCGTTTTAATATGATGATTATGATCTCCCTGTCAAGAAGATCAACATGCATGAAGTACACTGACCCGCAACAATCACCTATGAGTCCAAAACTGTCACATAATAGCCATGAACCTGGAGTAGGGATGGCAACAAAATCCGAACCCACGGGTACCCACCCGATCCAACTCGGTCAACGCGGGTAAAATCCGTGTTGACGGGTTTTGAGCCGGGTTTGGGTTTAAACCCGTTCACTATTCAACGGGTTGGGTTGGGTTTGAGTTTAGGTAAACCAGGCCCGTGGGTACCCGCCCACCCATATTATTAATTTTTTCGGTATATTTAATATTTTAAACAACTAATATTATTTATGTTTGTGGAGACATGTCTAATTTTTTCTTTTTAATTGTGTAGAATGAAGTTGATGTTATGGAGTGGAGAGTAAAGAAACTTAATTGAAAGGAAGAAGCTTTCAATTAAACATGTTATTTATGGAAAATTTGTGATTTGCTTCAATTTTTTTGAGTTTTCTAGATTGGTGTTGAACAATTTGTATAGTTAATTTGTGATTTGTTTGAATTTTCTAGAATGGTGTTTTATATATGGATAATATGTATTGAGAGATTGATATTTGACTTTAATTTTGATAAGAACTTGTAATTGTAAATTTTTTACGACAAAACCCGTGGGTACCCAACGGGTTGGGTTGGGTTTTGAAAAAACCCAGTGAATTTTACCATGGGTTTTTATCAAAGATAAACCCATGAGTTTGGGTTTGGGTTTGGCAAAACCCGACCCAACCCGACCCATTGCCATCCCTAACCTGGAGGTCCCAGGTTCGAGTCCCTTCAGTAGTACCTAATAACAAAAAAGTAACCTATATCACCATTATCTAAAAATAGACCCTTTCATCGATAATTTAACTGTTTGTTCGCGTTTGATTACTCATTAATTACTCCGTAACAACTTATCTTTGAACTTATTGTGAAAAATAACATCATATATAGTTATCGCACTGATCAATGTCTTCCCTTCCCTCTCTCTTGGACTCTTACATAGGGATGTCAATCCAACCCGTAACCATGGGTACCCTACCCAACTGTAACCGGTCAATGAGGGTAATTACCTGCTTTGACGGGTTAAGGGGCGGGTACGGGTAATACCCGGTTTCAAAATAAAGGGTAGGGTACGGGTATGGTAATCGATAATACCCGCCCCGCTAACCAAATGATCAATTTCCCTTGAGAAATTTATTTTTGCTTGAGAAATTGAGTTTAGCTACCATTATTGATGATGAAGATGTAGACGATTATTATGTTTGTGTGGATTGTAGAAGCACGAACAATTTTTATGTGTTTGCTGTTTTTATTTGTGTGGATTGTTGAAGCTAGAACAGTTACAAGTATTGAGAATTTTTAATGGACAACAGTATGTATGTGTATATATGTGTATAAGTTCATAGTTTAGGATTCGTACCCATGGTTGCCCGAATACCCGTGGTTATCCAGTGGGCAGGGTATGGTTATATAATTTTAATACCCGGTGGTTATTTGGTCGAATATTTTAGAAAGCTCTACCTGGCGGGTTAGGAGTTGGTATAGGGTAAACCCACACCCGACCCTACCCATTGCCATCCCTACTTACATGTGAAATATCAAGAAAGAACCAAAAAAAAATACAGAGTATAGTAATACAGAAGTGGATT